GAGGGTGGTATTCTGCCCAGTTGGGCGAAAGACCCCGAGAAGGGTCAAGGGGGCCAGGCATGGCTGCGGGCCACCTGAGCCCCGGCGCAAGAAGCGCGTATCGGGACAAGCCCCAGAGAGGGCGAGGGCGCAAGAAGCACGTATCGGGACAAGCCCCTGAGAAGGGCGAGTTATGGAGGAGCCCAGAGAGGGCGAGGCATAAGCCCCAAAAGAGGGGGAACCCCTATTAGGATGCCCCAGAAGAGGCAAGTCCAGGGGAAGTCCCATAAAGGGGGGCGAGAATGAGTGTAAGAGGCCGGAGTAGGGCAGGCACGCAGTTAGAGGCCCGAGGCAGGGCCAGAGTGTGCGGCTGGGAGCCTGAAGAGGGTGATTACACTAGCCGAACCCAAAGGGCGGCCGGGCTTGTGCAGCGAGCAGGAGCCCCAAAAAAGGGCGAGGCAGGGCGCGTATCAGGACCAAGCCCGGAGAGGGCAGGGAGCGTGGGATAGAGTCCCGGAGGGGCTCCACTGTAGAGGGAACTCCGAGGGGCCAAAGGGCCAGGTGAGGCTTAGGCCGCCTGAGCTGGGTTGGACACTTATTGTTGGCAAGAACCCAGAGGGGCGCCGGTTGGGTGACAAGCCCAGGGGCGCCAGGCAAGGGGCGCCGGTTGGGTGACAAGCCCAGGGGCGCCAGGCAAGGGGCAGAAAGAGAGAGAGTGACCCGACATCGTCCGGGATAGCTGCGAGGCTTGGGGCGTGCTAAAGGGGAGCTAGGAGGCACACATAGCCAATAAGGCTGGGGGTGTACCAGGCCACCCTGTACAGAGTAGGAGCCCAAATAGTCATAGCACCATGTCCAAGAGGACAGAAGGCAGCCTCCATTACTGAACTTCATAAAACCAAGACGTGGCGGGCGAGATAGAGGGTGTTGGAACGCCTACTTGGCACGGCAGGGGGCGCTAGAGGGATCATGGCCACCCCTAGGTCCCGCTCTGTGACAATGGAAAATAAACGCAAATACATCTAAAATCTTTTTACCTGATCTTCTTTTATAGTGTGTTGATCAAGAGAAGTCTTTAGCGCAATATTGCTGTAGTAGGCATATGATAGCTCAAAGTCCAGTGGATAGTTATTAATGCCTTGGTAATGTTTATATCCAAGATTCAACCCTGCAAGTCTCTCATTCCCTTGAGCACCAACCAAACTATACAGCAGCCCCTGCCAAAAAATCAGCAAAGGTAAGCAACGGAGAATTAATAAGACATATGACAAGTTCACCAGCTACAAACCACTCTGTCCCACAGAATATACACAGTGGGAATAGTGCATCCATCATGCTGGCTGATGCAGAAGTTATACCTTATAGAATGTGTAAGCAAACAGAATCATCTCAAAGATCAAGAATGTTGTCTCAAAGCGATTAGGGCGCTTTTTTTTTTTTTTTTTTTGTTTTGCTTTTTTACATAGAAAGCTATGAAAGAAATCCACAATTCTTCCCTGTGAGTATTTCTGCTTGTCATTCTGCCATCACTAGAGTGGGTAGGGAATTTGATACATTGCTACTTAATTCAAATTATACACTTTGGACACTAAAAGGCATCAGCTTATACGTGGGGCTCTAAGGACAGGGTTTTCCATAGCCTTCATGCACTAGTGCTAATGGGTGTTTTGCTCCAACTTTAGTGGAAGCATTAGGAACATTTGAAAATGTCACTCTATATTGCTGCCTAGACTAGAAAAATGACCTGGTGCTGAGAACAGTTTTCAGCAATAGGCTTCCACTGCCCCACTTCAGCTGGTGCTGAAAACAGTCTGGCTACTGCAGATCACACAAAACCATTTTTCAGCACTGTTACAGAAAACATATCCCACCCCACCCAACTGGTCTCTAACTGTGCTGAAAACCATTTTGTCTTATATGCACTAGCTAGTAAAGCCTTGCCAACACCATCTGGAAGACCTGGGAGGTAATGTACTGGTAACATCTCCCTATCTCTCACCACAATAGGATGTGGCAAGCTTTGCCTCAGATGATTCTCCGCACTGCCAACCCCGTCTCCTCTTCTGCTGACAAACATCCAGTCAGCCCCGGCGTTCTTTAGAGTGCTTTGTGGCCTGCTACCTTTTCATAGTTAATTTCTGTCAGCAATTTATTTAGTGTAAGAGTGATGTTGTAGCTGTGATGGTCCAGAAATTATGTAATTAATTATCCATACGCTCTGCTCAGCTCTGGCCATACCACGGGAGGAGAGGAGGGGAGCATCATCTTAGGCCTCCCCCCACCCATCTTCAGCAAAAATAAAGTCAGCGCCTATGAACTTAAGGCAGGCCCCAAATTAATCATAAGATCAAAATTATATCCCTGTGATTTCTCTTCTGGGTCAAATGATGGCCAGAAGAGGAGAAAGTTATTTGTGTGGAACCCAAGATGCTTACAATAAAATTGCTCAGAGAGGCAAGGATTTCTTAGGGTTATACCTTTTATATCAGGGGGATAAAGTTAGGCAAACTTTCAAATGCGTAACATTTGAATGTAAGAATGTGAAACCTGAGGAAAAATGTCTTGCATTCAAAAGCTCGTCTAACTTTATCCCAAGTACACAGTTGGTCCGATAAAAGATATCACCCTAAGAAATCCTTGCCCCTCTCAGCAATCTCACTGTAAGCATCTTAGGTTCCACACAAATAACTTTCTCCTTTTCTCCCCACCCTGCCGCTCTCTCCCCCGGAGCTCCTCACCAACCGTGCCACCATGGCGAGGCACCTCCTGCCCACCTGGCACTAGTGGAGGGCACAACTCTATGCCACTGCCCTTGCTGCTGCCATGCAGGTGGGGGGTGCTTTGCCATGGCAGTGCAGCTAGCATGGGGCTCCCAGGGGAAGGGCAGCAGAGTGGGGAGCCCTGAGCCCACAGCGGGCAGCCTGCATCCACCCTTCCCTTCCCGGGAGTGCACACAGTGGCAGGGAGCCATGCCCACCAAACCCCGCCACAGCTGGGCAGCACCCCCAGGCCCATCCCCTGCCCCACTCCCTCCCTCACTGTGGGGGCCTCAATCTGCCCCCCTCCCCAAGGACTTACCTGCAGGCAGCTGAAGGAGCTGCTCTCCAGTGCTGCCTGGAGCTGTATCCCGGGCCATGTGCGTGCCCATATGCACATGGCACCCCCTGCATCCTGCTCCCTGCAGCCCCGTGTAGGCTGGAACTCTGCCAGCTTGCGAGGGGAAACCTGTTGTTTCTCATGTTTTTCCAGGGTGAGTGGAAAACCTGGATCCCTACATGATACTGGGAATCCAAGACAAATGCTGTCCCAGAATCATGCACCCTAGGACCAGGACTTGATGTTCCCGTTTCACGGCTGTCCCGCCCAATTAGGGACAGGTGGTCACCGTCTTCTTGAAAGGAGTCAGGGCCCTCGGGCCCCAATGTACTCGGTACCTATGCTTAAGTTTGGAGTTCAGATGCTTATCTGAAGTGTAACCAAATTATCAAAAACTTTATGAATGTTTCCCCTCCTTGCCCACTTACAGAACTTCACTCTTGCACAATATAACCCAGGATCTCACTCCCTCCTTATTCTATGCAACCAGGGGTGACAAATCTGTCCGTTCTGCCACTCTGGAACAGCAGAACATAGAAGTCCCTCCACTAGGTTTCACTGTCATTAGTGTCCAAGCATAAGGGGATTCATAAGTACCTGTGACCAGCTGCCCACTAAAGGAGCAAGAAGAAAGGAAAGACATGGATAAGGAAACTATTGTTTAGCACTGAGATGGGACAAACTACCAAAATCTCTCTCATTTTTCTCAAATGGACCAAATTTTATCCATTCAACCAATTTTGTAAATTGCTTTTAAAGGCAACTAATTTCATTGGGATGATCAGATGCAATGAATAAACTACCTTTATAGGATCCACAGGCACACCGAGTCCCATTTCAAAAATCACTGCAAGGAAATAAGAAGCTCTGTGGTATCCACAGCAGCTGGAATCCATCAAAAAAGGGACTGAGTTGTTCATGGAGCTTAGACCATCAGCTCTGGAGAGATCTTTGGCAACCTTCTCAAATATCTTCTGGCCAGTTTCTAAAATTGTATAATTTTTGTCTGATACTAAAAGTACAACAACAAAAAATACATAACTAACTGCTATATGTAAAAACAGTTTAAATCAGTTGTCATGTTTTTAACTGTTTCATTTATCCTTCCTTACTGGGTTAGTACAGCTATCCTTCTTGCCATATGTTCTCACACCAAATGATACTTTACTGATTAAGGCACACCCTGAAATCAAAGAAACGCCTAGAACAGAAGTAAGGGTAAATTAAAAATTGGTCCCAGGGGAAAAACATTCAGACACTTGCATAACTGAAATCCATGCAACAGGACTCCATTAGAAGACAGGTCAACACGAACAATGGGGGCAGAACCTGGTCCAGGGGAACTGTGTTAAAATGTGAAACATGCCCGTCTTTTGCATTATGTCCATCCCATGACATAGTAAATTTCTCCTTCATTAAGTTAGGTGATATCAAAATTTAAATCACTGTGACATGTTAAAATTTGAAGCAATACTTGGTGCATCTACATGAAACACTACATTGCCATAGTGACAAGCTATGGTGAAGTAGCTTGTTGCAACAGCAACATAGCATCAGCAGGCATAGACCATGATGTTAGTGCTACATTGCTTTAGCTATGAGTTATGTTGCCATAGCTCATTGCTATGGCAACGTACCATCTAAAAATAGTGCACTGCTGGGACTGCACAGTACTAAAGCAAGTACTAAATGACTGCACAGCACCAAATGTGTAGTCAGGGGCATGTGTAGACACACCAACTGCATAGTAATTTCAGCAAAGCAAGACAAAGTCATGATTACCACTTGATGAACTGAAATCCATCTCTCGCAGCAGCTTGAACAAGCTGTGATATTTCTCTCTTAGAGCCTTCCTCCACATAAAGGCATTGCACTTGGGCTTCTCTCCATATTTGTGGTTCAGGTATGAATAATAGTGTTCTTGTTTACCTAGAGAAAGTGATATATCTAAAAAAAATATATCTGAACTAGCTAAATGATGTTCCAAAAATGATTAACAACTGGTATATAGGATGGGAAGAAGAGAAAGGATCAGTGAAGTGATAATGTTGGTAAGCTCACTTAAAAAAAAGAGATGATTTATTATAACATTTGCCATAGTCTTACTGGGACACGGTAACAAAATTCCTATTGGGAATATATAATAGTGTTACAATGATGAGTTTTCCAATACATAACTAGAGCTGGATTATGCTGTTATGAAACAGAATGGATGCAGGGGTAAACATTTTGCCTCTTGCTTCCTTTACATGAGGCACCTATAGAATAGATATTCCAAACAATCATGAAAATGGTTGGGAATTTTAAAAATATGTATGCAGTGGTGGCTAGTTGCTTTGTTGTACTATAAAATACAGTGAATTTGATGTTATACTTAGCATAAATTTGTACAGCCAGCTGCAAAAATACTTTTATAGTTCCGGTTAGAGAAAAAAATAGGAGGATTTGAGTGGTATAGTATGTTAGCTTGAAATCATGTTACTGTTCCATTTTGTTTCTCTGTCTTTTTAAAAAATTCAGCAATATCACTTCTTTTTATGTTAGTATTCCACAGAATGGAAGCCTTTCTAATAACAAGAAACATGGTTTTGATCAGCCAGTAGCCATGATAATTACAGCAAAAGCAATATTTTTTCCCTTACTATATACATATATCTTATGTTTATTGACAAAACAATTATAAAATTACAATGGGCATCTTTACATGTGCTCTGGGGGTGGGAGAGCCTTAATCAGAGGGGCTTTGAGAGCTGCTCTAATTAACATGCCCTCAGCATCATGTGTATTCAGTGTCCCATACTTCAAAATGGTGGTGGGGGAGCTTTAACTAAAGCTCATTTGACAAGCTTTAGTTAAAGCACCCTGCTGCCATTTTGAAGTGTGGAGATGCTGAATACATGAGACACGGAGGCTGTTGGAGCACACTAATCAGCACACTCCAGCAGACTCGATTAATCGGGTTTCCTCCGACACACTGTAATTATAACGTAGAGCAGCATCCCCGCACATCTACAGGCACCCATTCAGTCTCTGTTAAAAATAAAGCAAAGGAGAAGTCAATAACATGCAGCTTGATATTCAGACCTCACAATTCAATACTTACAGTCTTTATGCACTGTTTGACCTTGCTGTACAATGTGTCCATACCAAGATACTATTTCTTGAAAGTCTGCACAGCTCTCATAGTAGAGTTCAATTTGTTCCATAATTTCTGTGTCATAAATAGGGTTAGAAATCTAGACAGAAACAAATTACTATTAAAACAAAATAGTAGTAACTGCAAGATCTATAGCTATTTACATTTTGATAGGAGAAAATTTTGTAGACATTGGCTGTGTACAGACATTCAACCAAAAGAAATTTCTTCAGGTAAAAAATAGCCCAGGAGCCAAACTACAACCATTCCTCCAGCCCAGGAGCGAGCAAAATAATCGCCCATGGACTGGATCTGGCTACCAAGGGATTTTATTCGGCCTGCAATAGATCCTTTGGATGCACCTGGCCCAGGCATGGGGAGCAGCCCAGGACATGGTGCATGTGGCTGGTCCTACAACTCCCAGGCACACAGTGGGGCTGCGGCAGCACGGCAGCCAGACTCACTTCCCAGCAGCCCCCACAGCAGTGGTTCCTTTCAGCTGCCGCTGCCAGTTTCCTTCACCTGTGCCAGCCCCAACCCTGCTGCCCAGGCACCCTAGCCTGTCTGCCTTGCTGTTGCAGCTGAGGTCTCTGGGCTACAGGGTTAAATTACTTCTGGGAGAGTTTCCATACTAACAAAATCCTCAAATTCTATTTTGTTTGATGACAAGCTTATCATCTGGGGTGACCAGATTTTGTAATTTGTCTCTACTTAGAACCTATGCACTCAGAATCAGTCTGTGACATCGGTGGCATTTCAATGGGTGAACTTATAACATAATCATTTTTGTTACTCTACACACACCTACCTGCTCTGTTTCCAGAACACTAAGACGATAATATTTCACAGGTCCAAAGAATCCTTCAATGCCAGGTGCATACACACTGCCTCCAAGAACCAAGTATCCAGCTGTATCATCAAAATAGAAATCTTCCCTAAAACTACAAAACAAGACAGATAAATGCTTTGGGTATTTGATATAGTAAACTAGAAACCTGTATCTTACAATTCTGGTATAGACAATTTTTAATTTATCCCCGGCATCTATTTCTGTTCTTTATCTGTTTAGTCTTAAAATCAGTTCAATCTACTCAGACCAGCTCTAGAAAAGAGTTGAAAAATATCTTGCTTCCACCTAATATTTTAAAAGCACTGAGTTTTTTCTGGCTGATGATTTACGTACTTCAGGTGTCTTCCTGAATGATTGTGTAACATGTCAGAGACCTTGATTTTTTTCCCCACATTTTGTGCAAGTCAGCCATAGCTTGGTATATGAAATGTAGGCTGCACATCCTTTTGACAGTGATTATCTGTAGATTTTTTTTTTTTTTTTTTACACAGTTCAAATCTTGTAAACAGGAACAGAAAGGAGAAAGACTAACACTGAGGTTTACAAGATAATTTATTAATATATAACACCCTTTATTATCCTAAAATTCTTGCACAAAAAGACAGAAAGAAAAGGACAATTTTAAGAGGAAAAATGACTCAACTGTTTGGATCCAAGGATGAAAAAAAGACAGCAAGAATCAATGAAATGCTATAAATAATTCGCTCCCAACCACACACTTTAGAGGTCTGATGCTCCTTTCTCCTAAATTTGATAGAAGTATTGCTCTCTGTTTATATCAGGGCTGTCCAACTTCAAGGGGCTGGGCCAAATACTATATGTGGTGCATCAGCAAGGCCCACATTACTGCAAGCCACAGACTGGACCCCCCTATATTGCTGCACTGCACTGACAGTAGTCCTGTCTATCCCCTGCCCAATGGCTACTGCTGCACCCCATGAAGAGGGGGCTGTTGCAATATGTGGGCAGTACCCACCTCAGGTCCCTCGCTCCAGCACACTCTGGGCCTTCCCAACAACATTGGCTGTGCCATCCCAACCGCTGCACTGGAAAGAGGAAGTGAAAGCTGATGGGGTGGGGAGGAACCTAGAGACCTCAGCTGCAGCAGCAGCTGGGTGTGATATGAGGAGGGTTGGCCAGGTAGGAACCCAGGAGCCACACAAAAAACACTTGTATGCTGCATATGGCCCAAGGGCTGCCATTGGACAGCCCTAGCTTAAATGAAACAGATCTAGACCCAAAGGATAAAATCCTGATTCACTGAAATCAGTGGCAAAATTTTCAGTCACTTCAGTGGCACAAGTTTCACTCCAAGAATCTGATCCAAAATCCACTGAAATTCACAACTTGCATCAATTCCAGCAGGCTTTGTACCACTCTCTATGGACCAGTTTGAGTAATGCAACTAGTCCCACTGATTACCTATATAGCATTCAACATGGGTACAGGTAACAGCATTTACTTCTGAGATTGTAGCAGTGAAAAGAGGCTACTGAAACTTATTTTCTAAAGTTTTGGAAGCTCTGTCACCTGTATGCACAGATACTCCCCTTCCCACACCTAACCACATTAATTTGCAATGGGGAAAGTTCTTCTTACTTAAAAGACTGATGCTGCTGTCTTTTCAAATTCTTCTCGACGCTGTTTATTTCTATCTAAAAAAATAAAAATAAATGTCAATTGTGATAGGCTAAATACTGCAAGTCAACTAGCTATAACATTTATTCAGTCCACTTTAATTCTTAATTTTGAAAATACAGATTTGTATCTTGCTTCGCATCTTTCTGGATATTACAAGACATATGCCACCATATCTCAAGGAGCAATTCTCATAACTGAACTATATTAGGAAATTTTACTTGAAAGTATTTAACTGATTTAACAAAGTTCTAGTCCTGGCATAGAAGTTGCTTATATCAGTTCTCTCTCTCCAGTATTTTTGTTGTTATAAGAAGTTATACTTTACAAAAATTCTTAAAAGTTCATATCTCTACCTCCACTGTGTTTTACTCTATCCTTCCCTTCTTGCCCTTTCTGCTCCTCCCTTCCCCCAAAAACTAGAAGTGATTACATTTCCATACTGCTGCAGGCACATCTATAAGTAGGCATTTATCTGCATCCTTAGGCACAAAAATATCTTTGCAAAATCAGGCCTGGAACCTCTTTATGCCTCAAATTCTCAAATATAAAATAAGAATAATAATCCCTCACTAATGCATTAATGTTTACTAAAGCCATGCTGAACAGGATGGACCTGATTAACAGGAGCTAGGTGCCTAAAGAAAAGTTAGATGTCTAAATCCCTCAGAAGATTGGAGCCTTAGCCATTTGTCACAGGAAATCTAAGGCAGAACAGGGCATTACATCTGGGTCTCCAAAGTCCCAAGCTATGGCTCTGACCACTAGATAACCTTCCAGTAGCTGATTCTGCACTGTTTCCCTTTCTACAGAAGATCAGATTAAACCTCTCATGTTCCCTTCATGTTTCCTAGTGGATAAAAATTATGCAGCCATAAAATTTGAGGTTTTACCTCACATCTATATGAACTAAACATGTTATCTGCTCTCAGATAGCAGAATAATTTCTTAATGTACTTATCTAAGAGGCCAGCAAATCCTCAAACAGGAAAGGAGCAATACACCTTATGTTAATATTGACAATTCCATTCACGTTTGCACCTGAAATAGGCTTTACACTACGTCCTCTTCTACTTCCACCTGAATGAAACACTAGTTCCAAACAGATAAAACAGGCAATAAAAAATATTTTTAATTTTTTTTCATTCCCTCTTTAACAACTGGGGTAGGAAACCAAAAATATTGACAATAAATGAGATAACAGAAATGCAAATTAACCCTTAATTTTTATTCTTTGAAATGAGGTCAGGCTGCTTTTTAGAACTTTGACCTTTTTCATGTACATATTTATATTATAGGTGGAGTGCAAAGACATACCTGTAATTAAGCTTGCACAAGTGCTGTCATTGTAAAATGTTAGTTCTAGTTTATCAGTCTTTTAGCTTCAGGGGTAAAATTTGCCAGGACTGTCCTCTCAATTAATAAACTCATTTTTAAATATTTTGAACAAAACAGGTCTCTACATTTCTTTCCTTACATAGCTCTAGTGGTAATAGGCCTAGTGGTTGGTGGCAAACAAACAATCCCTTGTTCTCGGATGTATTTTTTGATAGTCTGGTGAAAAAAATATAATTAAAATTACAGGGCTTTACAGAATATTTTGTGTATGGGCTATGGGTTTTGTAACACAGTCCTTCTTAACAGTGTTCTATTGGCTCTCAGCGTGCATGCAACAAGTTAAAGAAAGTATATGGTTTTGGGATGAGATATAAAGGAGAGCTGCTTTGATTACAGCAGTTTTTGGATTACTTGAGAGAGACAGGAGGCACTTGAGACTGAGGCATTTTCAATAAGAGGAAAAAATGAACCATAACGTCATAGGCCTTGTTTGCACTAGAAAACTTTGTCACTCTTTCCCAGCAGCTGCACAGCTACACTAGGGCCAGAAACAGCATTAACTCAATCCTAAATAGGGCCAAAGATATTTTAGACCACGTCTATACAGCTCCCTGGTGCTGCTTCCTAAACTAGAAAGAATGTAGCTGTGTTTGCAAATGGCTGTTATGTTATTTAGCTCACCTGCAGCACTATACAGCTCTGTTACAGGAGGCAGCACAGCATGTCTGAGGGTGCTGCCAGCACAGGAAATTTACCATGTGGACATGGCCTTAGTTTTCTTGGCACAACAGGAAAAACACCAGAGCCCAGTCTACACCAGTACTTACATCACCGCTGGAAAACTCTTTGAGGTGGATGCACCGTGATTGATTCATATGTATGGACTGGTGACAAACACTAGCCCCAGGTCAAAAGACCTCACTTCAAATCTTGGGTTTCTCATTCTTTGATGTATGAACATGCGTACATCGGGGAATGCCCCTCAGCCCAGTTTATTAATGGGTTTGTTGGTGACAATCAAATATAAATAACCCTCTGCAAACCCCAGCCATGCTACTATCATTCAGCAGCTGTACCAGCACACATACCTGTCCACCCTCAAAAGAGAGATCTAGACGAAACCACTGTTTGAGAGGAAGGCTGAAACTAGTTACCACTGCAATGTCTTCTCCTCCAACAAGCTGCATCTGAATATGAACGTAACCTGATAAAAGAACAATGAAGGAAAACAAGGCAATAGAAAATTATGAAAATATTCATGTTAAAAGCTGGCTTCCTAAAATGCTGTTTACAATAATCCTGTCCTGTTCATCACCAATGAGGAGATCTGAGAAATCACCAGCCAGCCACCTATCTCTACCAGAATCAACAGGAAATGCTGAACATGTGAGAGGCATATGCTAGGTATACATAAACAGAATTTCACTGCATCCAAGAAAACCCTGAAGGGAGCCGAGAGGAAGAGCAGCAAATGATGTATAAAAATAAAAGAAACTTGTCTGCTACATGCGCTAACACTGGCTCTAGAAAGGTTGAATTTAACATAATGCAAAGAAGTAGGATGAAAACTTGACTGTATTATTTCGAACTGCAGAAGTGAGATTCAGAGTCTAAGGTCTTCAGGTACTATTATGGGTATAAGGTCTTCAGAACTGTTATGATCTTCCAGTCTAATGTCATGTACAACACAATACATAGCATTTCTCCAAATGATTCTTACATCATGCCTGGAACTTCTAGTGGTACTGTATCATACATTTTAAGAAAAATATCAATTCTTGAGTAAGGCATTTATATAATATAGAATCCACTGCACCCGACGTAAGTTATCCCAATGGTTAATTATTCACAAGTAATTAAAAATGTCCAGTCTGAACTTGCCTGAATTCATCTTCTAGTCCAGTGGTTTTCAACCTGTGGTTTGCAGATCCCTGTGGGTCCTCAGACTATGTCTAAAAGGTCTGTGAAAGATGTCTATGACCAACCAAGTGAGAATACTCGCATTTAAAATCCAAAGGGGCCTGCACACCATTCAAAATTTCCAAAGGGGTCTGTACCTCCATTTGAAATCTTTTAAGGGTCTGCAAATGAAAAGAGCTAGAAAACCACAGTTCTAGTCACTGGATTTTGCTATAGCCTTGACTGCTAGATTGAATTGTTCTCTATGGGCATGTCTACATGAGATGCTTTACTGCATATTAGACTAATCAACTGCACAGTAAAGCCTCATCATCTTCATGTGTGCACCATCTGCTGCAGTTAGCTACTACCTGTAATATAGATGCTGTGCATGTGTAGACACTGAATAGGGGCAAATTTGCTCCTAGTCAGCCTCAACACCAGGGTCCAAAGGGAATGGGAAACTCCCCACGATCCTGGTGCTGCTCATCTCCCAGCTCCCCACAAGAGCCGAGAGCTGAACTGTGCTCGGATGGGGTAGCTCTCTGCCCCCCCGTCCCAGTGCTGCTCATCTCCTGGCTCCCCACAGGAGCTGGGAGCTGAGCAGCTCCAAGACTGGGGAGCACTCTGCTTCCCTGCCTAGCAGGGTGCTGGCTGGGAGCTGTTCCGCTTTTGGGGCAGCTCCCAGCCAGCCCATGACAGCTTGGGGAAATCTCTGCCCAGCATGCGACTGGCTGGGAATTGCCCCAGAAGTGGGACAGTTTCTAGCCAGCCCTTAAGTACTCAGGGATTTCCCTGCCTGGCCAGGGACTGGCTAGGAGCCACCTCAAAAGTGGGACAATACCTGGCCAGCCCCTGGCTGCGGAGAGAAGCCCCACTGAGCACAGGCTTGTCCCCATGTGCATGGGGTTGGGAGAACTTTGCAGCAGCCACTGTCTCCTGGCCCCATTCACATCAGGACCCTTCCTAATGTGCACAGGGACAGAAAACAGCTGCTGCTCTTCTGGCCCTGTGAGCATCAGGGCCAGTCCTCCATGTTCCCAGCCATCCCCCAGGAGAGCCTAAAGCTGCCCCTGGCTGTTGCAGGGGACCAGCACAGGGTAGGAGCAGCCCTGTACCGGGCTACTCTCGTTGATAGCAGATTTACTCTCAACAGGTAGTGCGTTTAGGTGTGCTCCCAGAGAAGGCTTACCGCACAGTACTTTACTTTATAGCATTAATAGCACATGTAGATGCACGCTGTGAATAGCAACTTTTTCTGTTACTTTTTGCAGATTGTAATCCAGTCACCTCTACACACCTTTTCGGAGATCACATAAATAGACTGAGGTGTGTAAGAATCATTATGGTAGCCCTTTTTTGAGCCATTTCTAATTTTTAAACATTATTTTTGAATAGTGGACTTGAGAACTGGATGCAACATTCCAGTAATAGCTTCACTTCTGTTGTTCCTTACTCCTACTCAATCCTTCTCCATTTACACATTCAAGGATGGTGTTCCTATAATGTTGAGCACTGTGAAGACATTCTATTAAACCCTTTAGTTCTTCAGTGTGGGATTGTCCTGAAAGGAAAGTTAGAAAAAAATGGACACTTTCTGAATTGGTCAAAGCTGGACAATCCATAGCAAAAAGTGTAACCGACTTCTGGATATCTTCTGTTCCCAGAAAAAAGGCCTAAAATGAAGCATTCCCCGAGGGATAAATTTGACAAAAAGACACAATAAAAATTCCTGTAAATGCTGTTCTTTGCTACAGGCACAGGGAAGACTGTATTAGGTTTCCTATAGAAAACCTTATGTTATTACTTACCTTCTTCACTGAGAAATACAGCAGGAGTACTGTACATTTCATTTGTGTCAACAAAGTAAAGTATTCCACACAGGTTCTTTTTGCAGTGATGGAGCAAATAAAGCCAGACTGAAATAGTAAACCTACATGGGCAAGAAGAAACAATTGACCCACTCTCAAAGATAAATATCATTTTGAGTTCTAAAAGTTATTAATTTAAAAGTGCTTGTTCTGCTTTAATTTAAAAACTGATCTTCAAAACAGAACCTAGAGCTGTCAGAATTCTTCAGAATCCAAGATTCTTGCTCCTGATTCTCTGCTTCTGTGCACTGATGTAGTACAGGAGAAATCAGCTATAATACTTGACTGTTTTAAACTAATAGTGATAGATTACCCTAGTGATTTGAGGAAATTCCAACAAAATCTTCAATGGGAAGATCATAGCCAGCCTTTCTGCTGATACAGAAGGAGTGAGGAAGACATAACAGCCTTCCCACCCCTTAGCTTTTTCTCCTGTGGAGGGGCTGATGTTCATGTGGCTAGGGTGCTTGGGTACCAAAACTCTGAAAGGAAAAAAGGGCCTGTTTTTTGGGGGGTTTTTTTGTTTTTTACAACCTAAAGCCTAATGGCAAAGATCTCCAAAAGGCGGGTAATAGCTGAGCACCGAAACTTATCAGACCACTGCCAGAGAAGTAGATCTCAGCTACTGCCAGATCCTACACTAGTATGGAAATCAACTGTGACAAATGAGAACCAGCTCACAGTTCTGTAGGCAGACATCCTCAGGGTGGGTGCATTTGTAACCTTGGCTGCTGAAACCACTGAACAAATATTCCTTGCTAGTTAAAAAACAGGATATGCACCGTGGGAAGCCAGCTCTGAGGGAATTATAGGAATCCAAGCTCTGTAACATGGTCATGAGCAACTGTTACAAGGTTGTGCAGGATAAATAAAGGTGTGGTTTTTGCAAACCATACAACAATAAACACACAAGAGCAGGATCAAATGCTTCACTGAGCTGGAGTAACTATGAAGAAACTATGCCGATTCTGATGCGAATCCAGTGGAGAGTCTGAGACCCAAAAATGCAGAATCTGTTCAATAGGCTGGGATGCTATTGTTTACTTCAACTGGAGCAGAATTAGGCCAGGGTTTGTTTCCTCTGAACATCCCAGCTCTGGTGAATAACTCTGCAGAAAACTACATTTAGTAGTATAGTTTGAATGGCCTTTAAAAAGTGAAATCAATCATGCTCATATTTTTATAGTTTATAAAAATATACATTTTAAATATGTTTAAAATACGTTACTTTTATTTACTTGTATCAAGTTGTTTTTTAGAGACACTGAATATTGTATGGCAGTGTGGAACTTCATTTAAACTAGAAGAGCATGGGTCATCCAACCTAATGGTAACTCCTGATAAGTGGATGGGAGATGAATTGTTACTCAATAAAACCTGTGCCCCCATATAATGCATATTGCTACATTACTCCTATATGTATGTGGGAGAGGCAGAGTAGTTTGTATGTCACCTGTACAGTGACTGATATAGTGAATATCTACATGTAAAGACTGTGCCTTTTGTAAGCATTCCTCAGGTCTGTATACCACTGTGGTCAATTGCTACATTCCCCTTAATCTCTTGACTAAAAGTGTTCAGTGATCCTTCTGATGGGCTTTATCAAACACAGTGGTGACTCAGTCAGCACCCATGTCTCTACTTATCTCAGTTATAATGCTACAGAAGGGTATAATGCTGAGCTGCAGCCAGATTCTATTATATTTGCTGAGGGTGCCTAAGTGAATTTAGGTACCTAGTGCAATCTTATTCCATGCTCCCTGAGTCCATGAAAAAAAGATGTTAATGCAAAAGACCAGGTACAGACTTTACACTTTTACCAGTATAAGTTATCCTAAACTGGTCTATACCCATAAGAGAACAGAAGTTTGGCGCACAAAACTGGTCTACACTTGTAACAGAACAGAAGTTCGGAATACATATACTGGTTTAAAAATGGTGGAACTCAGTCTAAAATTTGCCCCCCTCCCACTCCAAAGAGTGAATGTGTGTTCTGTTTGCTACTAATCTAAACTACATCACTTATAGAAAACCACTAACTTAGATTGATTCTGCCTTGGACTTCCGTAATGTCTGTATCTAGCCCATGGGTCTACAGCTACTAAAGCGGGCAGATCCTCAGCTCGTTTGGCAAGCCATACTTCTTGTCCTCTGCTATTTAAAGCCCATATGTGACTCTAGTGAGCATTTTGTATTTCATTAACACTGATACCCTGGATTGAGATTAGGGGGTCAGAAATCCAGAGGAATGTGGATGTCCTTCCTCTCACGTAAGGACCTGCAGGTAGAGTGTTCTTCACCACATACCACTGCTCTAGGAGACCTCACTATAAGGGGTTGAGAGGTTTTACTCCAGTACTGCTGAAGAATTTACACACGGACTAAGTAGCAAGGGGAATGAGGCCAAATCTATCTGGTTTAGCTACTTTCCTGTCTATTCAATGCTGAGAAACCTTATAAACAACACTGGGGCTTGTCAAGAACCATCTTCAGTTATTTGCACTTGCTTACACCGGGTAATCGATCTGATGCTGTCTGATTGTCTCAAGCTCTTTGTTCTTAAATCTCTCAAATTTCTTCACAATTCCTGTTTTCTCTCCAGTGGATGCATACAGAAAATTGAGGATCTGGACAGCATCTGTAAAATGAAATAATTCTTAATCTGCTAGAAAAAGTACAGGGTTAGAGACAATCCTTATTAATGCCCTTTGTTCAAACCCCCAAATGTTTAAATCAGTGATCTGGTAACACAGAATAAAAAATAAGAGCTAATGAATCCACACATACTTGTTATTTCACCTTTCTTCTATTAAAAGACTGCAGCTGTTTAAAGAGTAGCTCAAGGGAGGGGAAGGAGCATGGAGTCTATTTCAGGCCTGTATTTACAAATGAGGACAGGGTAGAATGATTTAAATGTGTGATAAAAATAACCATTTGAATGTTGTTTTCTACAAGTAGAAAACTTGATTTAAATAGTTGATTTTAATCTTTTATAGCTTTGCTGGTTTTAGCTAATTTTCCACATAATTCAGTATTCTCTTTCATTGGTAGCGATTAAAACAAGTTGTTTTGCAATTACACATAGTTTTTATAGTAAATGTGGTACTTATTTCTGCTAATTGGGAAGATGTCCTACCACTGTACCCAGTTACTTCCACAGTTGCATGCAAAGCAGACATGTATTTAGAAGCCAAACTTTTATAATTTTGTTTACAACAAAATTCGTAAATAATACATTTTTATGTATGAGATGACCCACTTTTAATCTTCTTATTTGTGTGAGGCTGCAATTGGATAGAAAATGGAATTCTATTAAAATGCACAGAAACACCATTAATATATTTTTGTTACTGTGTAAGTTAATTAGGATGTCTATCATTTGATATTAACCTGATTTACTAAACAAAATAAAATGATATGTAGTTAGTAAATTGAACTGTTTCTGATCACTCTGCCTGGTAGACTTTAGAATGCTCAGATCTCAACCTTTCACATCTCACTTTTATTTATAGATTAGCAGACGAAAACAAATATACTTCCTGCTTTTTCATGTCCAAATTGCTTTCTCAACTTTAAATGAACTACTTTGAATAATTTGCCCACCTGCACTTCTCAAAGAGGCTACCCAAAGCTGGTTTAACACTTCAACAAACTCTGGATCCAGGTGCTTAGCAAATAACTTCCACTTTAAAACATCTGTAGCAAACAAGTGCCACTTGAATATTACTCTCATTTAATGTAAATAATTTTAATAGATTATGGAAAATTTGGGCTTTAACAAAGACTAGCAAAATGTTACATTTAATTTTAAGAACTTTATTAAAAAAAAACTGTATGACTTCAATTAAAAAAATCCAATTTAATATAAAAAACATTTTTTAAATTTTGAAACTTCTTCATTGCTCTCCATCCATTTTATCCAATGAGTATTAAATGCAAGAAAGTGGATCAACTTCATGAGAAAGGCATTCACCCACCCCCCCTCCAACCTAACTCACTGGCGACGTGTAGGGGGTACATGTGCACCCCCTGAGCACGGCAGTGCACCCTTTATAAAAAGTGTCAGCAGTGCCTGCAGGCAGTTGCCACTCACCCTCCTTCTCCCGCTGCTGATACTGCCGGTGGTGTGTCACACCCCCTCCCTCCCCCACCACTGACAGTGCTGGTGGCATCTGCGCATCCCCGCTTATCACTGCTGTGCTCCTGCTGCTACCAGCACCACTGTGGACACATGTTGTTCATGGCCTAATTTGTGATTAGTACTTCCTAAATTACTTATATAAGGATTACACATGTAAAATTGCAGGATTAGCCCTAGAACAGCGCACTATGGCTCCAAGTGAAAGTCTATGGAAGGCAACAGAAAACTGATTTCAGTGATTCAGTTAAAGCTCTAAATTGTTGTGTTGCTTTGGCACTATGGTCAGGTACACACATTACACTTTTACCAGTATAAGTGACCAGAAACCCATAACAGAAGTTCGGCACACAAAACCAGTGTATACCCATAACAGAACAGACGTTTGGTGCACATAGACAGGTTTAAAAATGATAGAACCTGGTCTAACATTTTCCCTGTGTATTCTGTTCGTTACCAATCTAAACTATGTTGCTTAGAGAAAACCACATAACTTAGATCAATTCTGCCTCAGGTTTTTTGAATGTCTGTACCTAGCCTATGAGTTTGCCCATGCTATTATGAAACTAACGCGGAACATTTCACAATGTAGGCAGTCACATTTTGCCACAAAATGTACATTCTTTTGGCACTAATATTTTCATAAATACACCCTCTCTCAGCAAATTAAAGAACATGTCATTTTGGTCTTAGCTTTCCATTAAATAAAAATGGCAATAATACTTACCATCCTCATGAGGACACTGAGGTACCCAGCTTGCCTGGAGTTTCCATATATATTCAGAGCCCCACTTCCAACATATTCTGTGATCTTTGTATGGGCGTTCAAGAGGTGGAACTGTTTCCAGGAAAGTATAATTCCTGGCAACTGCCTGCTGGTAGCTTTCATTGCCCACAGTATCATACCTCCCCATAGGTTTGTGACTAATCCATGCATACAGTATCACAGTGTCCACTATTATGGAGTGTTTGATGAAGAAATCATCTCTGTAAACCATGATGCTTGGGAATTTTAAGTGCAGTGTTCGAGTATTACTGATATGAAGTTGTTTCTCATTCTTCCATCTCTTCCTATACACTGACACACCAGTTCTGAACTCCAAGGAAGCTACAGCTTCCAAGTTGACAATGCAGGGCTTAGAACATAAATACTGAACTGAAACTTTGGAATCATTAACAATTTTCTTTTCTACTATGTTAAGATGAATAAAATCTTCATAAGCTATATTGAGCTCAGACTGTAGAGTAACTGATGTTGTCCGCAGTGTCTCCTTTCCAAATGATGGCAAAAAATTCTGGAGAAAAAATATATAATGTTAAATCCACCTCCCTGAATTACACTGATTATTAATACATTTTCAACAATATTTCAATTGCAAATTTAAAACTAAGTTCTTAGACACAACATATACTTACTACGAGCTATTGAAGAAAACTGACCCATTTTAAATTCTTAGGATTTAACAACAAGAAAAACAAACAAACCCCAGGTATCATGTACACAAGGGTCTCACATGTGATCTAATGCAAAAAGACAGTGACTTTAAGAAGTACTAATTACTTGTTGCAAAACACCTACTGTAATTTACCAGCTTTTGCTCATTTTGTTGTTGTCAGCTTCATTGGAATAATTTTAAAATAAATGTTGTTACTAAACAGTACCTTTAAATTAGTAATTTGTAAAATAGGAACAACACCTAACCCACTTCACACGAGTTTTGTGAGGATTAATTCATATTCATATAGCATTAAAAGTGATTTTCAAATGTACTTTAAGGAATACGCTGGGTCATAATGGTTCACTTACAAACCCGGAGGAAAAGCACAGCACCTGTTATTTACTCAGTGTTAACTCCTTTGTAGGTATGGAGGAGAACATATTTTGGAGGGGTTTCAGTTGGCCAGTACATCACCTCCCCAGGGAATTCTGCAGTTCTTTGCAAAGCTGATCCTTTTCCTTTTGTTTCTTCTCTGCAGGTAACAATTTACTTTCAACAGTTGGCCTGACATGTATGTGTCCAAGATCTTCAGGTTGCTGTGAATTTTACAAGTTGGCAGGCATATCTACCAGTACTTTTTGATGACATCTGATTAATTTTAACCGTTTAAAATACTAAGGCTGTTGCTGTTTACAGCATTATAGCTTAGAACCTTTGTAGTTGAGACTTTCCATTATAAAGCCCTGTCTGCAGTTGCTGGTCAAACTTTCACAACCTGGACCGAAATAATCTACGCTGCGTGTCTGTCTCAGGTGATTTTTTTCAATGTAGTTAGGAAAATTTTGAGATTGAGATTAGAAGAAAATACATCATTTTGCCATGTTAAAATATCCTTGCAACTGTTCATATTGAGAAGTTGTAGATAAATGAACTTGAAATTAGGTGGGAATTACTTTAGTGTCAGCATTATGCCTCTTGACTCCCATGTAAATATTTACCCAAATATGGCCAAGCTAAAAGCCTCTGAACACTCTCAGTTTGAATGTGCTCAGTCAAGTCTGACTACAGTTTGGCAACTAATCTCTCTAAAGATCCTATTTGTGCTTAATACCCTCTCCCTCCTCCCAGCTCCAGCCAGAATCTGCCATCCCCAATGACGTGATTTGCTTCATCCCGGAATTGTAAAGGCTAAGCAGAACTCTCCCCACGATTGCTTCTGAGTGCCAGGGTCCACTGTGGTGCTCGGCATCTTGACTGACAGCAGAGAGACAGTCTTTCCTATGCTACCAATGCATAGCAGGCAACTGAGGAACTCTGTTTTAATGCAGAAGGCAGGAATGTTGAGAAAAAGAGGCATGCTGGAGAAGTGAGGAAGGGAGAAGGAGCAGCATGGGGCACAATGGGAGGGAGTGAGGGTACACAGCAGGGGAGGGTTGCAGGAGTCCAGGTGACAGTACTGGATAGAAGCATAAAGTGGAGGCAGGACGCTGACAGGAACAGAGAGGGAGGAGATGAACTGGGAGCATGGGAGTAGAAGGGTCACTAATCTCTGAAGAAAATTCCCTTCCAAAGCTGGGATGGAACCCAGGAGTTCTCTGCTATCAACAGGTGTAAATCCCACTAGCAAACTGTGTGCCTTACCCCCTTCATCCCTGGGGGTTACATTTGTTGAGCACTCACAACTGCAACAGAAACCACTGAGAGCTGCACTCTGAATATACTAAAAATGCAAACTTCTTTGAAAAGTCAGGGCCGAGGTACCTCAATTTGGGCAGCTACAATGAGTGGGCTCTTTTGGCAATTTTACCATTTTTCTATCTGTGCCATACTTCCTTGCCTGGAAATGGATAAACTTATGGTCTTATTAATGAATTTATTTTCACAGCACTCTGTTTGTAACAGACACAGGAAATCACCATTGGAAAGCTCATGATAAAAGCCCATGAGAAAATTCTGTCTTGGAGGCAGGGTTTGAATGGTGTACCTTAAATAAGACCCGTGACCAGACAACTGAGAAGGAAAAAAAGAAATATTAATCATGACATGAAGAAGAACATATTCTTTCTTAGCTGAGGCGAGAAGAGTGGGATGTGTTTCTACGAGTTTTATTCCTTGGTAGCTATCCCAGGTGCTGTAACTGAGAGGAAATCTATGCTACATTTCATCTTAGCCTTCATCCCAAAGTTTTCCTTACCTGTGAATATCTTTGCTTCCTCTTTCTGTAGCTGCTCCTACCCTCCTCAAATAGCAGCAGTGCCACAGAGGCATGATTTTTGACAGTTTCATTGATGCTCACGTGCATGCAAACAGCAACAGTGAAACTGTCTTGTGTCCTGCTTTGCAGACATGGGAAGACAATGCTGCATTAAGTTTACATCCATAAGGTTATTTTTACATCCAAAAAGGCTAGAAAGTTTTTATTAATGCTGCTGAATTTGATTGTGTGGCTTCCATCAACTTGCCAGACTCATCAGCAACGAGTAAAGGAGTTTATCAGAAATATTATTGATCAGTGAGGTTCTGAAACATCACAGATACAAGGCAACAAAAAAGGAAAAAGAATGAGTGGACATGAAGATTAATTTTTCCTTTAAAATCTGGGATAAAACTGTCGCTGAGATCTATTTAACCCTGGAAGAACTGGACTGACCTTAGTGATGTTTCACCAGCTTACACAAGACTGAATATGACCCAGTACTTTCCGTGTGAAAACTCAACTGTTTCATACTACTCAATGTTGTAAGATGAGTGAAGAAGGCCCAGAATCAGGAGCAAGACACAAACAGCCTCACTTTGCTTCCATGCATATAAACAGCAAAAAATAGCAAAAAGATCATTGACTTCAATGGGAGCCCAAGGAGCCAAAGCAGAATCCCAGAAGTGTCTGAAATTAAGTTAATAAATGTAATTGGTGCCATTAAAGCACAGTATTATTCACCACTCTGAGCGTATGCAGTAATGAGAATCTACAGTTACAGGTAAAACAGGAGATATCAAAGAAACCGGAAGCCCTCTGGAATCAAAGCACCTCACATACAAAGCTTTTTATTGCACTATTACTATTAAATAATAACTTAGTCTTTGTTTGTTCAGTTCTGTACACAAAAAAGCAGTAGTCCTAATTTTGTGTAAAGGGGAATTAAATCATTAAAATGATCGAGGATCCTTTTTCAACAGGCTACATGAGATCCGTATCGCCACAGAGTTAATCATCTATGTGGCATTTTCTACTTCACAATTTGTAGGACTGTTGTTGCCAGAGACAAAGATGGGAATCTGAAGCATGAACCAAGATTGCACGCAGGTGCGCACACGGCCTTTTGTAAGGGAAGCAGAGGCAGCCAGCACGCAATGTTCTGATGATAAATTCTCATGCTGAGATAAAGGAACTGGTTGAGAGGTTTATAAAAACCTTATAAAACCCCCCTCCTGTTTATGAAAAAAAATCACCTAAAATTGGTAGTTTTGTGAAAACAAGAAAATAAATATGTAGGAAGGTAAGATGGTTTAGAAGTGTAAAGCTAGATGTTTCAAACAAATCAGGTGCTCAGGGCCCACCAACAGAACCAGTTGTGAAAAGTGTCCACCTTAGGCAGTGCAAGAAGACTGTCAGCAGAGCTACGCTTCCCAGCGCTGGGTGTTGAGCTGCTCTGCAGAGCGATCCCGAGTGCAAGTGCCACGCTGCCCTGAGTATCTGGCCCAACGATTCAACGAAAGTCAGACGGGACCCCAGGAGGTCGCATCTAGTCCAACCGCTCAAAGCAGGACCGTCCCCAACTACATCATCCCAGCCAAGGCTTTGTCTACCTGCTTCTTAAAAGCCTCCAAGGATGGAGATTGAACAGCCCCTCTGGGGAGCCTGTTTCAGGGCTTCACTACACTCTGCCTATCTAACCTAAACTCCCCTTGCTGCATCTTGAGGGGTTTCCACGTTTCTGGCCCCGGCATTGACCACTTGCTGGGTGCTGAGCCGCGGACATGGCCCGGCTCCCACTGCCTTTTTAAAGTGACGGCAGGGAGCAGGAGCTGGGGAGGGACGGGCCCGGCCCCCGCAATGACTCAAGCCCTCGCAGGTGGCAGCCTGGGTCGGCGCCCCGCCTGGGCCAGAGCTGCAGAGGCGCCGTGCGCTCGGATCCCCGGGCCCGGCACCACCCGCGGGGCGGCCCCTCACCCCCAGGCCGGGACGGGGGCACTCACCGGCAGGCTCAGCAGGAGCAGCGGGAGGAGGAGGGTGGGCGGCGAGAACGCCCCGCACCTCATGGCCGAGCCGGGCGGGTGACTGCGCTGGCTCCGGCTTCCTGGGGCTGGGCGGGGCTTCCCGGGGCAGGTGCGGCGGGGGGCGGGGATGACGGAGCCCGGCCCTGCTCCCGTGGCGGGTCGGGGTGGCGCTCGCGACCCGGG